ATTTCAATCTTTCGAAAGCGCATCTACAAATTTACATGACAACAACGCATGACAATATATATATATATATATATATATATATATATATTATATATATATATATATATATATATATATATATATATATATATATATATTGTCATACTTTTTCTTTCCCAACCAAAGAAAATAAATAAAAAAACCAACAAAAACGACCTTTTCCGTTTCCAACAAAATTATCAAAAAATCCCTTTGTTTAGAATTATAAGACATTTTACCTGTAAGTTAATCTTTTCATTGTTTGTATAATCGAGTATTAAATGACCATATTCTAATCTTTTGAAATATGTATAAATTGTGTATTGACCAAAACCAATTTTAAAGTAAGCTCTTTAGTTTTTCTCTGAAACAGAAATTAGGCTTTTCCAAAATCATGGTAAACACAATTTGAGCTTTTGATTGGACGGTCGTTTTTTGAATGGAAATTTGTGAGCCGATTAGGAGGACCGGAGAGGTTAGTTATAATTTGGCCATCGAAGGAAACAGTCGTTTGTCTCAAGATAGGGTGTGGTTCGTGAATTTGGATACCGGCATTGTGAAAAGAAGTGAATAGTGTTGCAGAAGGAGATAACAAGGATTAAAAGAGGTCCGTGTATCTACCGTGGGCATTTTGTGAATTATATATGAAAGTAATTGTTACGGCATCAAGTTGACATAAGCAGGTCCTTGTGTCATAAATAAGTAGCTGAGTTTTTTGGAGAAGTGAATCAGGTATTTTTTGGGTAGTGCAGCAGGTTTGCAGAGACGTTAGGAAGGAGCCGAGGTGCCAAAAAGGAGAAATCACATCGTTGAGGAGACTGGACTTTTCTGGGTATGTTCCAACATACAATTCAATAAGGAAATAAGCTGTAAGTGTTTGAACAATTGAAATTGGTATTTGTGAAGGATCTGTGTTGACATTATGGTTATTATTCTCACGGTGCAGGAGTTTTAAAACTAAGGTTTTGCTGATTCCTAACGCTAAAGATAAACGTTGTGTACTTACTTGAGAATTATCGTCAACGCGAACTATTACTTCATCTTCTTGATCAGGCATAATGAATTTTGGTCGACCTTAGTTGTCACGTTTTGGACGAAATGAACCATTTTTGCCTAAATTTCGAAATAGATGTTTAAATGTTTGGTGATTGGGTTGCAGCCTGTTTGGGTATTTTCTTAAATATTCCTTTTTCGCTGCTCATCCGTTAAAGTGTTGCTGAAAATAAATAGCAACCATATCTCTCATATCCATATTAGAAAAATTATTATGCCTTGGCATTTTCAGCTTTTCTCTAAGAAACCAAAATAGACTAGATATTGCAAAAATCATTGATTAAACAAAACAAGACTTATTTTAAATTGTGAAAAGCATTCGTGACATCAGCCTCCTATAAAATTTCCCGTAATGCATTGGGGTTGTCTACTGGCATCACAACTGTTATTTATTTATTATTTATATTTTAAACAAATTATATTATATTAAAATAATTCAATAAATTAAGTTTGCTAGATTGTATCAACAAAATACAGACCCGTCAAAGAAATTTATTATTGAAATATAAATTTGATATTCGACCATTAATTTGGAAGTAAATTTAATTATTATATAAAATAAATAAGACGTTTAAAAATACAATTTGATTATAATTTGAAAGGAATTTATTGACAACTAACGTTAAATGTGACGCCATAGCACCTCAGGATTTTACAATAAAGAAAAAGTAATTCAACGCCAGCATAGAAACTTATAAAAGCGATATATAAAGGAAATTGTAAACATGATGACGGCCAACTTCTGAATACAAACACTGCACTCAAAGAAGAAGATAGAAGCTTATCTCCAATAAGGCATTTAGCAACCATAATAAAGCATTTCGGGATATTACATTATCATATTTGAGTTGTTTTAATAAGCACAAACTAATAATTATGCTTATTCACAGGTATTCAGTGTTTTACCGCAAAATTATCACAACTAAGAATGATTATGCAGCTGACTTTTAAAATGCAATTATCTCGAAAACGGTTGAATTTTTAAGTTACTATCAAGTATACCTTTTCTTTGTAAAAATAATGTGTCTTTAATATTTTTTAATAAAAATGGGGCTAACTTAAAAAGAAAAAAAATTAAGCGCAAACTTATGCCACATATGTGGCATATGTGGCGCCCTCTATCAGCTGTATCAAATTATGCATTAAATTATAATTGCTATTACTCAAAAGCATCCAATTGTAAATTGTCCATTTTGTCTTTGGACTTCATTAGATTGAGACCATTCTCATAGATAACTCCTATCCAGCATCCATCATCAATAAATTTCTATATTCCAAAAGCTATGGGTAGTCCATCAGTGAAACACCCAACGGTCTAACATTAGCGTCCATTTCTAACACAATAAGATGAATAAGTCCCCTCTCACTCTTGAACAAACCATCAAATATGCTTCGCTCCCGTACTTCCCACAAATCACGAACAAGCTTAACAAACTTTTCAAAAGCGTCCTGATACGGGCGCCCATTTTTCCCATAGCCACATATGCATCCAAAACGGGGACCTTAAAGAAAGCGGATAAAAATAAACTGCAGGCTTTTGAAATGTGGGTATACCGCGGCATGTTGAGAATGTCCTGGATTGACCATCGCACTAACGTATCGATATTAGAACAACTTAAAGTAAAGGATAGATTGCTTAAACAAATACAATAGAGATATTTGCAGTATTTTGGACACATTGCTAGAAGAACAGGTACGATGGAAAAACTGATAGTCGAGGGTAGAGTTGAAGGAAAGAGACCTAGGGGAAGATCTCCAAGCCGTTGGGTAGATCAAACAAAAACATTGATTAACCAAGGGTTACATGAAGCCGAACAACTAGCCCAGGACAGAGAAGGATGGAGGGAAATCGTGAAAAAACTGTAAAGGCCTGATGGTGTCACCACATCCCAAAAGTGATTAGGACTGAGGAGGAGAATATATACAATGAGTAAGTACCAAAAGAACTAAATCTTTTGGTCACGAGGATATCGGTCAAAGGAGAAATAATAAAAGAAAATCACAGCTCTATTCCTATATTTGAAGACGTTTCGCTTATTGTATTTACAAGCTTTATCAGTTCAATCTAGAAGAACAGAATACAATGGTAATAGGCAAGAATATAACACATGGAAAAAGAACTTACGAATGGTGAGTGTAAACAAACAAATGTAAAACATTTACGGTCGCATTCAGGATTTCATTGAAAACTTCAAGGAATTGCCTTCGGGGACATCATTCAACAATGTGGCGGACAGTCTGTCGTTGCACACCATAGTCACACTCAGGAGTAAGTACTGTTCCCCATCTATTTAAGCTGTCAGCACATTTACCGCTGCTTGTTCTTATTCTGTTTAGCGTTATCCATATATTGCGGGTCAGTTCAAAGCCTGGCGGTTTCTAATCGATACAGGCCATTTGGTGTGCTTCCTGTGGTGAGTCGCTCTCCCATTGTCTTCTTCAAGCGTTGGTGAGGTTGAAATATTCCTGATGTAAGGAGTTAACTCTTAGTAATGGAGGATATCAAGCTTATCATGGTGGATGGGTGGTTGATGGTTAGCCTCGATTTTTTGATATTCTCTGAGAAGAGAATGACTTCTTCGCAGTTTCGACAGTGGAATGTGACTCAGAATGGTAAGTTAATAGTTCGTTGTGGGTCTAGTTGTACCTGAGATCATTCGCATTGTCTAGTTTAATTGAGTGTCAATATTCTTCGTTTGTTCTTTGTAGGTGTTCTTTAAAACTTAATGTTCTATCAACAGTCACTCCAAGATATTTTGGTGTTAAGTTCTGAGTGAGCAGTCTATTTTCAAACTGAACGAAGAGTTTTTGTTGGCTTGGGCATTATTTAGATGGAAACAACACACTTCGGTTTTCGTTGCATTGGGCCGTAGCCTCAATTTGCGAAAGTATTCTTCCATAACGGCAAAGTCATCCGTTAGTATTGTTTCTGTAAGATCCATGTTATTATGTCTTGCTACAATGGCACAATCGTCAGAAAAAGCAGCTGCAATGAATAGCTTTTGCAAATAATTTCATCAAATTTCGTCATTTTTTTCAATATTTGTCTAATGGATTATCTAATCCGATCAGCAATAGATCTGTCTTTAATAAACTTATCTAGTATTATTTGATGATATTGTCAAAATAATGTTCCAGACGCTTGTGGAGTATCAAGAACAAAACTTTCTATGTCGTATTAAGGACAGAAAGCATCAACCCGAGATAAGAACAATAACAACGTACACAGCAGAAAAACCGAAGCGTCAAGAATTAAAAAAAAAATCTTGTTTTAAAATCCTAACGAAATAAATATTTTTTTCATATTTTGTATTTTTACCACAAAAACATACCCTGAAGATAAGCAAACGCCTAAACGATGCGTATATTGCCAAAAATCAATCACTAAATCTTAAAACATGATCAACTAAAAAAAACAATCCTTTATTCATTTGAAATCATCCTCAGTTAGCGAAAGATAGCTTTGATCTTTGCCGCATAGACTTTGATAATGCATTTCGCAGTTGCAGAGAAAATATCAGAAAGAAATAATTCCATACCGTCACTTTATCAGTTCTAACAACAATGCAACATTACAAGACAATAGCCATAAATGAGTTATGGGTAACTGCTAGTCTTGAAGAATCAGAAGAAGTTTTTATTTTCAAAAGTTTATCAAAAAATAAAATATTATCTCCTCAATTTGAATTATAATTATTTATTACTTAATTAACCTTTTTTAATAGTGCTGCGTTTAACATTTTTTCATGATAATAATATTGTGATTTTAAATGCCTTCACTGTTTTAGCATTCCCTCGTAGGCTCGTTATGAGGAGTGTAGTTCTTGAAGAAGGAGAAACCGTGGAATTCATGTCTTGATTTTCAGTGTTACTTGCTGATAATATTCTTCAGTGCCAGTGCTGTCAATGGCGACATTTAACCGGTGAAGTTAAAAGTGCGTGGAAAACAATTGAATTGTAGTCACTAACATCCGTATTGGAACACACAAATATGAAGGGGTGAGTTCAGTATGTTTTAAAACCAAATCGACTCTATTAGTACGTTAGAAGAAATTCTTATTTTATCATTTAAATTTTTTATGTAGTTTTACTTAAAGTTTGTACAACTTTTGCTTGTTCAGTAATCTTTCAATATATTTTTTTTATCCTATTAGGGCACTTTTTGCAAGAGATATTTATAGGGAGATTTTTAAATCGATATTATTTAAATTTGTAATTTGTATTAGTTCTTTTGTTATATTTCAGTTTATCATTAAGTACAGTTTATTCATTTTTCAGACTATGCTTTATTGTGGTAAATAATTTCTTAATAAATTATATTAAGTTAAAGTACTACACTAGGTACGAAAATTATACAAATTATGGTCAGTAAAAACCCAATCTCTGAAAATGAGTAGTGGTTTAAAAGAAAAATACATTTAATGATTATTAATTTGGTGCTTTTTTGAGATAAAATATGGTTGCAGAAAAGGTATAGCTCTAAGCTTAACCAATAACAGTGACAAAGTTCTATAAACTTAGATTAATAGTAAGCGGGAAAACGATTGGAGCTTTCCACAATGGTTGGAAATCAAATAATAATTCAAAGTTGACAAAACTAAGATCTTACAAGCCTATATATTTAACCATAGTACTTTGTGTCTGTCATTAGTTTGAATCAAGGACATTTAAGGCATATATGCAGGCATTCTAAACAAAACAAATACAAATTGCATAGTAATTAAATAAATGGAAAATATATCTTGTAAGTTTTATTTTATCCAATTTATTTTATTTTCTTTTATTTTATTTTACATTTATACTTATTATTATAGTTTCTTAAAAATGATTAGTTAATTTTTTTTTCATAATCTTCGCCATTAGTTTCCTATGTAAAACTAATTTTAGAATTTATCACTTCCCATTGTTTGTAGGTGGTCAAACCAATTGACTCTTTTTGGCTGTATAAATATTGTGATTTTTACATCGTCTTATAGAATTTCTATTTCTTTGTTCTACTTTTTCACCAAATTTCCATATAAATAACGTCATTAATTGTTATTAGTATTTTTACCTTTTATTTCTCCAAAAGTTCTACTTTAGCTTTTCTTAATACCCACATATTAGATTTGTATGTTACTGTAGATCTGATTATTGTCAAATATATTTGTATTTTCGTTTCTTTTGTCACTTGCAGATTTATGATTTGTTTATTTTAAAGAGATCATCTGGCATTCTACACTTTTTATCACTGCGACCTGAAAGATCTTTTGTGTATTTGTGTTTAGCCCAACAGATCTAGACTACTCAGTACGCTTAGTATTCTTGTTGGAGAAACATTTGTTCGAAACATCTGGTTAGATTCTATAAAAATCTATTCTAGGTATTTATGGCATGGATGAACAATTGCCTGCAGATGCAAACAATATGTTACATAGGTAATATCTGAGTGAACAATATCCGATGTTAGCTTGTCTGCCAACAAGCAGAAGGTTGTAATAACCTTTTTGTTTGTCTTTGATCTCTGGTATTGTCACAGTAAGCTATACTAAGTACCTTTTAATCTTATTCGATATCATTTATTATAATTCATACTAGTTTTTAATATACTAAAGAATGACTCTGACCTTTATATCCTGGCAAGAATTTGTTAATGTTTCAGTGTCCTTAGTACAGTGTAAATATATAAGGAAGGAAATAATATTGATGAATTGGGGTGTTTTTAGTCACTCTTTGCACAAAAATCTATTGCTAGAAGTTTTGATTGAAATATTGTAGAAGTATGTCCGAGGATTATTGACAGTTTGGTGTTAGGAGCAGTAACCCTTATACTTTATCGTATTTTTTTGGATCATGAGTAATATAAGTGAGTGTACCCCTTATAATTTGTGTAAATTAGTTTTGTATTAACCCACACACTTTTAGGATGATATTGACTGTGAGTTCAAAATCTAGTTTGGTAGATATACTACCGTTCAAATTACTAGATATCTAGTCAAATCGTCTAGTTTTAGATGCCAACCCCGTGTTAGCCTAAGGTAACTTTTAGGGTGATTTTCCTTATAAGGATATGTAAAAGGGTCAGTCCCAGCATTACCTCTAAAGTATATGACCATGACCAAAATGTCCCTTTATGTTTGCTATAAAGCCTATGGCACATCCATAAAGTTCCTAGCACCTTAGTGGCAATATTTTCACATTCCACGATAGTTTCCTATCAAGAATAACAAACGAGATACTTAATCTCTTTTGAGAATGATAGTGTTGTTTTATTCATGGTGATAGGTTAAACTGTAAATTTCATCCTATTTGTGAACGAAACAAGTGTCGTCTTATTATAATTTATTCTTTCGTCGTCTTTCTTCAAACACCAGTTAACTACTCGGTTTAGGATCAGCAATGTCACGCTTAACATTAACTACTATCACTAGGTTATCTACATAGCCCAGAATACAAAATTCTTCGTTTTGTTAGATCGTTAACCACTATCGACCACGATATGAAGAAGACATTTTATTATTCTTAGAGTAGTAGTTTGATTTTTTAGGTAGGTAATTATATATCTTGCCTTTCCTCAGTTTATTTTTAACCTAAATTTGTGTCTTGTGTTATATTCCTAGTAATCGGAATTTTTTCTTTATGTTGTAGTTACTGCTAGATAATCCGTAAAAACTATCTGTTCATTTATTTCTATTTCTTTTAGAATCTGAAACATTTTATTTATATTGATTGCGTCATAGGCTTACTTAGAGTCATTTGAGTTTGGATTATGTGAAAATTTTGCCTGCAACTAACTTATTACTCCTAAATTCCGCTTAATATTCTACCATTTTATGACAGTTTACTTGCTTAGAATTTTTTTTTTATGCATTCTGCTAGTATTTTGTCGTATACTGCTAATATTGCTATGTATCTATAATTCAGGCTCTATTTGACTTACTTATTCGTGTTACTTAAAATAAAAGACATTAGTATTAAACAAAATATGAGTTGATACGAAAATAAACAGATGAGTAAAAATATATATAAATAAGGGAAGAACTTTAATGGACGAAAATAGTTAAAAAAATTTCAGACCGTGATTATAAAAAAGAATAGAACAGCGAAGCGAATGGTACCTGTAAAATACCTAACACTAAACAAAGTATTGAAAAAATTTATCTAAAAATTCCTTTATAAAAAGGGTAATAATAAAAACCCTATCAGGCTACATCACAAAACGTTTTCAAAATAACTATTACTATCAACAAGTCCTCAACAATTAATATTCTAACTTGAACATCCTAATTTTTAATTATCAAAAGTAAAACTTAAAGTTAATCATATAACATTTAAATGGTTTTTAACTATGTATTTAGTGGTTTTAAACATACACATCCAGATTAGCACTGATGATGGAATAGTTATTCCGAAAACACTCTTTTATTATTATACTATATATTTTAGAAAGGAATTTTTAAATAAATTTTTTGTAATACAACTATACACGGTATGCAGCCAACTACAGAAATTTAGTTTCTTTGTGAAAAGTATTAAACTATCGTAACCTCCCTATTCTCAAATATCGTGATTTACTAAGCAAACATGGAGAAAATAAGAAATATTCAGGGAGTCATAAAAAGGGAAATGCTGGAAATTTCTCTAAAATATCACAAAATTTTTCAAGTAAGTCATAATACAACACAAGTAATATACTTATGTCTAGATATGTTTAGATTTACTACACATTGTTAACTATTTATAACGTAAATAGCAAAATTATATATGTATATATATTATATATATATATATATATATATATATATATATATATATATATAATATATACATATATAATTTTGCTATTTACGTTATAAATAGTTAACAATGTGTAGTAAATCTAAACATATCTAGACATAAGTATATTACTTGTGTTGTATTACGACTTACTTACTTACTTGAAAAATTTTGTAATATTTTAGAGAAATTTCCAGCATGTTGTCATTTTATACTGACGGTTACGGGTTTAATTAAGTGCTGAAATCTTTCGTTAAAATCCAAATCATAAAGTTTTAAAACAAGAAATTAGGTCCCTTATATCGGATATTTGTTTATCAAAGTAAGAAGTATAGAGTTTTGCCAAAAGAAAATTTTCCACCTATATTTTGTTTTTATTGATGCAAAAGAAACCTGTTAGTTTTTATTCATAAATTTTTAAATAGAAAGGCTTATCTTGTAATATATTAAAGTTTATTTATTTATCTTTTTGTCACATATCTAGTTTGCCACATCCATTTTCCTGGCATACTTATCCACACCATACGCATAGTAAGTATGCATACTTGTGTAGTCCTCTAATTTTAATTGCAGTACAACATCTTCGGCTTCTACTATTTCATTGTATTTATAATGAGAGCATCACTGAAGAAATAATTTGCAATTCAATTTATTTTTTTTTTTAATTATATATTATATATATATATATATATATTTATATTATATATATTATTTATATATATAACAATCCGAAGAAAATGTCTGATGAGGTACCTACACACCCAACTTCCACAGAATTTTTTTTTATTTCTTTTAGCTAGAACTTTAAATGGCAAAATGTATCTGGATTTGTTGGAAAATTATATTAATTCTGCTTTAACGGCGGCCATAATTGAGCAAATAGAATTTTTTAACTCGATGGATCTTTTTAAGAATTTTCAGACATTTTACAAACGGATTGGAAAGAAGGGAACCACTAAATGCCCTACATGTTTACATTTACCTGCTATTTTGAGCCGCAAATACGGAAACAGGTGAATAAGGCGAACAGAACAGTTGAATGTATAACCCACAAACTGCAAAAAAATTGCCTTACAGAAGAAACAAAACTAGGATATACAAAATTAAATATTTACCATTATGAATATTAAAAATTAATAAGATCTCATAAATTATTATTACTTACTCCCAGACTGTGAGTCCTACTTTACATCACGTATAGTACAAGATCCCACTGCAGGTACACTACGTTCATACCGTAGTTC